GCACTTCTAGTCAGTGCTAAGCAGTATAATGCAAATTATTTACTTTTTCTTGGCTCTAATTCTTTTATGCATGTTATTCATCTCCCTAAAATTATTATAAGCTTTTTGAAGAATTTACAATCACAAAGAACTTATTGAATGCCTCTCATGTGCTTAGCCTCATGCTGGCACTATAGAGGATAAAGAGGAAGATGCGGCATGATCTCTGCCTTCAAGGCCTTTACAGTCTAACTGGAAAGAGAAAACTAAAACATGTAGAAAAGCAGTTATTTATATGAAGAAATATATTGATTGCTACATGCTTCCTAACATTATATTTACAATAAGAACTCAGAGGAGAATGAAAGCGTAATGAGTTAGAGAGGGTTTCATGTAGAAGTGGGACTTGACCTAGACCTGGAAATCTGGGTATGTTTGGGATATCTGTAGGAAAGAAGGGAAGCCATTCCAGATAAAAGTGACAGGAGATATAAGTAAATGCATTAATATTCCAAGAAAAACAAAATTGCTTCTTCATGATGTAAGGAGACTAATGAGCAAAGAGATAGGTATAGTCATAGGATATTGAAAGTTTATTTTCTATTCCTTACAGCACCTAAGTGGTAAGAAAATATAAGTGTCTTTCAAGATATCCAAGATTAACATTGATGTTGATGACTACAGTTGATAAATACTTGTTACTACAACTAAAAAAGTTTAAAACCATTTTTTTTATCCACTTGTAGTAGTAATACAATCAGTAATGCAGCCATTATAACAGCACTGATTCTTAAATTGAAATAGAAAAGAATGTTATTCTGACTTTGTCACTGATACTTTAGGAACATTATTTCTCCTTGTGTTACACACACAAAAAAGTATTCTTGTAATATCTTACTGAATCACCCACATCATTGCTCACTAAGTCACAAAGCAAAGGAGATAGAACTAAATTAGTGGGTAGAAATTTGTATAGTCTAGAGAATTTTTCATAAAATACATATTAGAAACACACATTTATGAGGTAATTTACAATTACAAAGCATTTTAAATACATCAATGGACCCTTCACTTCTTTACAAGAAAAGAAGTATAAATATTACTCCCATTTTACAGATGAGGAAGCTGAGTCTCAGAAAGAGCTTAAGTGACTTACTTAAAGTCATACAACTATTTAAATTGTAGAGGTCTTCTGTATGAACATACTTTGCTCTTTCCATTATATCATGAAAATTTAAATGAAATTTAAAGACATAAAAAGTAGTCTCACTGTAGAACAAGCATTGGTTCAGAAATGATGGATCACTTCAGTGTCTGAGGCATTTTTTTTGCCTTCCCAAGTGTGTTGTGTGTGTGTGTGTGTGTGTGTGTGTGTGTGTGCGCGGAGGGAGAGAGAAAGAGAGAGAGAGAGAGAGAGAGAGAGAGAGAGAGAGAGAGAGAGAGAGAGAGAGAGAGAGAGAAAGAGAGAGAGAGAGAAAGAATAGTGAGGGTGTTTTGGAGCAATCTCTATTTTCATGCTTTGAATTTTATTAGCAAGAAGACTTGGTTAATTTTTTTAAAAGAGGAAAATATCTAGAAAAGTAAATGCCTACACAAATTAAATATTAGTGTTAGTCAAGTATTCTTTTCAGAAATATTGAAATTGCACATCAATATAGAGGAATTTTTATATTTTTTCCTCTTAATGCCAAAAAAAAAATAAGAGTTTAGGAATAATTTCAGAGACAAAAGGTTGTATGAGACACCTAGCTCTTTCCTTCTAGGAAATTTCTTTTCTAACATCTCAGGCTCATTCATTTTCCAATGTGAAATTACAGATATTTTCAAATTACCATATAAAACTACAAAAAAATTACACTCATGACCACAGTAGAGATAGCATACAGTATCAATTTGATTTTAAAAGGCATACATCTTTTTTATTACCTGTCATTTTTATAATACCTTTTACAAATTTAATCAATACATTTTAACATTCTATATACTTTAAGTGCAATATACAATAAATATTCAAGTTTCATCTTAAACATGCTTTAGCCTTTAAATTGTTAAAACTGCAGTGCCCTTTCAATCTACTTACATAATGTCATAAAATATACATTTCAAGGTAAATGAAGTCAGCTACTTCAATTTAGTCCCTCAAACTGGTAGTAAATGAGAGGTTAACACTATGGTGCCAAACCCATTATTGAGTAAATTTAGCACCTTGGACAGCTCTGTAAAATCTTTATTGCTTTCCTGACCTGCTCGTCATGTTCTGTCTGTGTGTTCAGTGGCTCTCAGCTCTGATTGAAAGGCAATATATTAGATCCCGAACACAAACACGCTCGGGGGCTAGTTCACTGGGAGCGTAATGACATGGAGGTGAGAGCAATTTTCTGGTCATCGCAATCCAAGCACCTTGCAAGGTCCATTGCGCTAACTCATAGAAGGCTTAGGAGCTCCTCTCTCTTTTCTATGAGGTAGAAATAACTAATATCACCAGAATAACTTTGGTGAATCTGAGACCAATTTAGACTCTCCCTCAAATCCCAAAGTTAATATTTCAGTGAAGGATATCCTACCTATTTTAAAATATTATTTTAAGGTAGGGCTCTCAGCAAGACATATGTAGGCTCTCTCTGCTTAAGGCTGCTTGCTGGCTTCAGCTGATGCTCTGTTGATGACCTGGTTGTGTAATATGTGTTGAATGGGAAATATGCTTTAAGCATCATGAACCAGCAAAAGCCCCTACTGTTAAGAACTTTAGGGGAAAAAATTTGAATTTTTGTGTTCAATTGATGAAATGGAAGTGAAGAACTCAAATTTCTTAACAGTTAATTTTAATTTTTTTCTGGTTTTTATAATTAAAAAAAATATCTTTCAGCAGTAAAACCATAGTATTGGATAGTATCTTGTGCCCCAATAGTGGGATGTGTTTCCTACTGTCATGCATCTCAGAGCTGTTAGGATGAACTTATCTCTTCCCTAGTTGTGGATTCAATGTAGATAACTTAAGAGAAGAGTCTTTGTTTGCGGATTCTGTCATAAGAAAGAATCTTTTTTATAAGTTCAGGTTCTAATGTATATACTGTTGTTATTTATTCAAACCAGAAGTATGTTGTTTTCCCGAAGAGTGAAAGGAGAAAAAATTATAAAAATTTTTGAAAGGCTAAATACCAGCATCAATATTTATCTGAAAAAATAGATGTCCAGAGAGCTAGAGAAGCCAGATTTGAGCAAATGAACTAAGTTCATGCTGTTTTGTTTTAATCTTTCCTAGGAGTCAGATAAGGCAGGATGGTTTAGGAGAGCTCTGTGAAAGCATCACAGCCCACATTTGATATGGGGATAGGGTTTAGTGCATTCATACCCCTAGTGGATTATTAACCAGTGTGGTCAAATACCACAACAAAACAACAAAAAAAGAAAAGCAAATTCTCTGGTAACCTACCTTTAACATTAAAAAATTGTTTCAGATCTATTGATTCACAACCCATTGATTATATAATGCATTTCACTTCATGTGTAAAGAATAACTGAAATGTGTTTTGTGAAGAGGGCTAGAGCAGCTTAAGGCAAACATAAATGTTTATTGAGAACTCCAAACCCCTCCATCTCATTTTTGAATTTAGGACATTATATATGTCATAAGTAGTTACTGCAGTATGACAACTATTTTATCTTATATTATAGAGAATTTAAAATTGGAAAAATGCTAATATGGATCTAAAAGCTTGTCATTTCAAGAGTTTTTCAAGGATTTTTGAAGAGCCTATGGTGACAGCGAAATGAATGCAATTATATCCCTATTTTCTGATCAGAGTCTATGATCTATGACAACTGAGCATCATGGTTCCTTTTCTACGTAGAATATCTCTTGTGGAAAATATTTGAAGTTGCACTTTAAAAAAAAAAACTTTACACAGCCTAAACTCTGCGCATCTTATTGTAAATTATTTTCAACAGTCTTGCTGTGCATTTGTGATTCTTTGCAATGCTTGTACTTCTCAGTAAATTAATTTCTTCTTTATTTGTTCTTTAGGCATTATAGAGTGAATAGATTTATTGCAAAAATGTGTCCAAAACTTCAGAATATCTGGGCAGAGTGTAGATGCCAGTAATCTCTTTGGGTTATTAAAAAAAATAAACAAACAAAAAACTACAACAGCTTCTACCTTGTTGCCAGCATTTTTTTCCCTTGTGATTTTAAATTTTGGTTTCTTATGCACTTAAAAGCAGACAGAAGATAATACCAAGCTAAATGTGTCAATGGAGTTTGGGGATGACCAACCTGAAGTAAAACAAAACAAAACATTCTGGAGATTTCCATGAGGATGGTCGAAAAGAGTGACAAAATACAAGGGGAATTTTGATTGTTATTAAAAAAATGTAAGGCCAGCCTTGAAAACTGGTTTAAAGTGAACTTGAGGGTTTGGGCGTAGGAAGAATTATTCCTTAAGACTCTTTAGAAAAGAGGAAGGATCGCATTCCTTTATCATGTGGATTTACTTCTGGGCACTCTTATATCATGGCTCTGACATACAAGAGAGATAAACAAAAGTAGTTTAATGCTACATGTTTCCAGTAGCTGAAGATTGATTGGAAATCTCTTGAAAATGACCTGTCTGATAAGGTCACAGTTCCTGGAATAAGCAATTAAGTGCAAAATAAACACATTTTAGGGATTCATAACATGCACTGAATGGCATCGATTGTAGTAATCTAGCAAATGACCTCAGAATTGTATTCTGCAATAAACGTATGAGTGCTTTATCCTGCAGATGGCAGACAATTGACTGATGTATTTTATCTTGCAGCCCCAATGACGCTCACCTTTTGACTCGATTAAGTGTATATGTGAACAGGGATAAACTCTTGATTTAACACCATTCTGGAGGTCCTTCCCAAAGCAGTTCTGTTCGAGGACTTCCTTGGAAATGAGACTGGGGGAATGCAACTTTATGAAAAGATTAAAGCAAAGTCCCTTCACTATTATCTTTGCTTCACTCAGAGGAATATATCTGTTTTTCTATTGGCAGGAAGTAATACTCAAACGAGCTGCTGATTTAGTGGAGGCTCTCTATGGTATGCCCCACAATAACCAGGTAAGGATGCTTTGATTTTGCATGAAATAAATTGAGAATATAAAGCTTATTGTACTATTGAGAAAGTGTGGGGAAAGAATATGAACATGTTTAGAGATTGTTTAGTTAATATTACAGTACAAGATTATTCAATTATTTTTCTCTTTTTATAAATCTTCCCTAATTATTTGCCTTAGATTGAAAAGGACTTCTGTGAAAAAGTAGAGAAGTGTTTTATATAAGCAGAGTTATTTTAAGGTGTTTTTATTTTATTCCTGTTTCTAAGAAAAGTTGGGGACCATGGGAAAAGGGGCTGGAACTTTTGTTCTAAAAGGGATAATCGGACTTGACCAGTGTCATCTGTTTGTTTTGACCATCATTGTTTAGTCTACAGAAGACCCAGCTCTTCATGACTGTGAAGGGCTGCTAGTTTCTTCTTCATGCCCTTTGAATCAATGTGTAGCACTACCCCTCAGAGGGATGCAGTGGCTTGGGTGCTGACATAGTACCAACAATACTGGATTTGGTGTCTGAAAACCTGGCGTCTTGGACCACTACCATCACTTGACATTGTTGATATTTATACAATACTTTAAAGTTTTCATAGCATTTTATATACATCATCTCATTTGAACCTCACAGTGACTTTGGAAGGTAGGTTCTGCAGATATTATCCTGAATGTACAGATTAAGAAGCTCAGGCTCAGAAAAGTGAGGTGACTTGCCTCTGGTTATATATAGCTAGTAAGCATCAGAAGTAGGATTTGAACCCAGTGAATTTATGCCAAGTCTAGAATTCTATCCCTTATACTTATGCTGCCTCCCCAACACTCAGAGTCAAGCACCAATAGGCTGTAACTTGCCAAACCAAAATAATAGCCAGCAATTATATTGCATTTCAAAGGTTTAAAAAGCATTTTTCATGTCATCTCAACCAATCATCATAGCCACCCTCTTAGGTAGGTACTACTATCACCCCTATTTTACAGATGAAAAAATTGAGGCTAAGGCAGGCTAAGTGACTTGCCCAGGGTCATACACGAATCTGAGGCAGGATTTGAATTCAGTTCTTCTAGACTCCAAGTCCAGCACTCTACATGCTCTGTTAGTTTGTGTTTTCATAGTGTGTTAGTTCCCAACATCAGAAAGAGAAATGATACCATGCTAGGGAAAATAATTTGAACGTTCATTTCATTTTTTAGGAAATCATACTGAAGAGGGCAGCTGATATTGCAGAGGCTCTGTACAGCGTTCCTCGTAACCACAACCAACTTCCTGCCCTTGCTAACACTTCCGTTCATGCTGGAATGATGGGAGTTAATTCATTCAGTGGACAACTGGCAGTGAATGTCTCAGAAGCTTCACAAGCTACCAATCAGGGTCAGGAATATCTAATACCTACATGCTGCTTCCTCTACTTCCTCCCCCTCCCCCTGCCTTTCCTAATTATCCTTTCAAATAACATTTTCTCCGTATGACATTCCTAGCTCTTCTTTCTGTTGTATTATTTTATAACTTAGTTTTTGGTTGTTACCACTACTGGTCAGGGACTCGAGGCTGGCATGGAAGTGTGAATTTTCTATCTATGTTTTTGAATGTCACATAAAAATATAGGTGACAGATAGCAAAGGAGGCCAGAATTAAAATCCCAAGGGCCAAGGGACAGCATCAACTCCTGCCAATGGAAGAAAAACCTGTTAGCTTTAGGGTACAACCCTTAAACTGCAATTTATTTCTGTGGCAAACCCATAATTTATAGAACTTGTGTTTCTACTTCCTTCAGCCCTCAGTATTTATGATATCCCAAGGATGTGTCTTTTTCTTGCTTCCCATTTTAATCACAGAGCTAGTGACACAAAGACCATGTATGTGAATGTCAGCCTCCTACCCACTGGGTGTCAGAGGAGAGTTGGAAAGGGGGAATAAGAAGAGATCCTCTTTTTCTTATCTCACCCAAAGGTACCACCCACTTAAATCATTCCCCTCTTCTGGATTTTCTGTGTTCCCAGGTTTCACTCGAAATTCAAGCAGCGTATCACCACATGGGTACGTGCCTAGCACCACCCCACAGCAGACCAACTATAACTCTGTCACCACCAGTATGAATGGATATGGAAATGCCGGAATGTCCAACTTAGGCGGATCCCCCACCTTCCTCAATGGCTCAGCTGCCAACTCTCCCTATGCCAGTAAGTAGTGTTGTTCTACGTTTCTGCACATTTTCATCAAATGGAACTGGAGACTCACTCTGCTGCTCAATATTTAGCTTCTATTTTAGACCTCAGAAGCTCAACCTGGGTGCTGCTGTCTGCTCCCAAACCTGATGGCTAAGCAATTAAAGTTACCCATGATGTTCACTGTCAAGGTTCTTCAACAAACCAAAGCCTCTTTCTTCAAAGACATGCCTTCCCTTGATTTTCACTCTGTCTCTGCTTTTTATTTAAAGTTGGTTTCACTTGGGGAGATAAATAAGAATTAAATAAAAAGAAAGGTGGAATTATTCTTTGGTACCATGTTCAGCTGAGAATGAAGTTCAACTTCCATAATTTCTAGATAAGTAAATCATAGACCTATAGGTCTTTAGATCTATATATGATCTATATCTTAGATAGAATTGCAGGCCTTTAGTCCAGGCCTCTCATTTTACAGGTGAAGAAACTGAGGTCTAAGTAATTTGCTCCAGGTTGTGCAGTGAGGAAGTGAGGAAGCTTATACTTGACTCCAAGTATAGTTCTCTAGGCTATAACTTTAAAAGCATTCTAAACAAAATAGTTGTTTTATATAACCTGAGGATCTTTGGGGAGATTTAAAAATACTGTGCCAAGTTCATACTGCAGGGAATATTGTCTTGATGTCAAAAATCTTGCTAAAATACCTTAGCTTTGAAGATATGTACAGAAGAAAAGTGCATCCAACACTATCTATTTAGCAATAATGATTTGGGCATGGTTGAAATAATTTTCTTTTTCTTAAACTAAAAAGTGATACGTATGTGTGTGTGTGTATATATATGTATATATGTACGTATGTATCAATATCTATCTATGTCGTGATTTGACAACCCTGGTGGACGTTTGAGCATCAATCCAATAAAGGAAGCTTCTTCTTTTTGTAGATTTCAAGACAGGAGGGAGGGACACACAACACACACACACACACACACACACACACACACACAGAGAGAGAGAGAGAGAGAAGAGAGAGAGAGAGAGAGAGAGACAGACAGAGAGAGAGACAGAGACAGAGATAGAGAGACAGAGAGAGAGAGAGAGACAGAGATAGAGAGACAGAGAGAGAGAGACAGAGAGACAGAGAGAGAGAGACAGAGAGAGAGAGAGAGAGAGACAGAGAGAGAGAGAGAGACAGAGAGACAGAGAGAGAGAGACAGAGAGACAGAGAGACAGAGAGAGAGACAGAGAGAGAGAGACAGAGAGAGAGAGAGAGAGAGACAGAGAGACAGAGAGACAGAGAGAGACAGACAGAGAGAGAGAGACAGAGAAAGACAGAGAGAAAGTGTTAGTTCTTCTGTTGCAAGAGCACTTTTCTCTATGGCTGAATTCTTGGATTCCTCATCTAGTGCAGTGAGGCTTTATGGGTGTAGAACTAGATACTTCTTGGGCATTGAAACTACTGGAGAAACCTATTCCTAGAACTATGTCTACTAAAGAGTTACTGTTTGAGGTCAGCCTTCACTCCTCTTACTTTTTATTTTGATCCATCAGAAGGTTGTCCCTGGTAGACCTGTCATTTCACTAATACCTAATCCATTCAATCAGAAAATGTTTCAATCATGACCTGAAAATTAAAAGGTGGCATTCTTAATTAAATCAATAAACTAATTGCTGTATAGTAGCAATTCAATTTAGGCACTTTGATTGCTCAGCCTTCCTGAGTACTTGCAGACACCAAGTGACTTCAGCCTAAGATTGTATCTGTCAGACTGTGAAACTTTGAACATTTAATTTCCATTAATTGATTTCCTCAGTGTTCACAAATATAGTATCAGATTCTCAAATAGGCACTCAGATGGGACAATTTTATCTACATAAATGCAAATAAAATAATAACAGAAAGCCCAAATGATTTGAGATTTTTCCTCTATAACATTTAATTATTCATAAGCCACTCATGTTGAAAAATTGCAAATGGGATTTAAAAAATAAATAAATAAGGCAAGACTTTCCACTAGTGAATGCTCTTTCTAGTGTGGTGTCTGATAACCAATAATATTGAAACAAATGGAACTGTTTGACTATATTTCACCCCTCCTTCTTTGAGATTCCCCACCTCTAAACACACATAATGATCACATTTGCCAAAGAGATTAATTGCCTTCTTCAGTGAAACAGCGGGACTTCAAATCTACGTATATTTAAAAATCAAACCTCCAGTACAGGAATTTTGCAATTTAAATGGGGATTATTATTGAACGCATTTCCACATTTATAAATCCTTGGAGAGGTATAAAAATGCTACCCTCATTAAAAGAAAAATACAGTTTAGAAAATATATCTGTGAAAATTCTGAAGACAGCTCTGTTTTCCTGCTGCAGAAGCAACTGATAGCCTCATATTTGGGCTTTGGATATTGTCAAAAATCGACCAGGGTCTGCAAATGAAGTGTTCAGTGACCAATTCTGCAAAACCTGTCTCCCCTTTTCAACTGTATCGTGAGGGCCAGGTGATACAAAGTGATCAATTCCTACCTGTGTTAACTTGCCAAAGCCGTAGGCTCAGATACAAATATTAGCCAAATAGCCCATGTGATGCAGGGTACCATCTATGGAAAAAGTGTTTTCCTTTGCAATTAGCAATGAGTAAGGGAACTTTTTCTGGGATTTGGCTCAGAGGCTTAGAATTTCAAATTGTGCAGCTAAAAGTCAAAGTGCTAGTGCCCATTGGTCCACCAGAGATGGAAGAGAGTGAACAGATGGCATATAGAGAAAAGATTGAAGATAGTCTCTCAGCAGGGAGAAAATCAAGTTGTGTGTGGGGTGGCAGGACTCTCTGGAGAAGATGTGTTTATTGGAATAAACAAGAGCTAAATCATAGTGCCAAAAGATTAAAGACCAAGTCTAAAGGAGATCTTGGCTGGTGGAAGATATACATCTGTCCCAACTTTCTCAGGTCTCCTGGTCAGTTAATATTCTCTCCCCCTAGTACTGCCAAAGTTTTCCCATCATTAGTCATCATACTGATCTCTTGAGTACCAGACAGTACTTAAATATCATGGTATTATGTGTGTACACATGCACATGCCTTTCTGTATATGTATGTGCACACTTATACGAAGGACAGTGTGGTATAGTTGATACAGAGCTGGCCTCAAAGCTAAAGACTTGGATTACAGTCCCATCTCTGACATCTACTGGCTGGATCACCCAGGACAAGTCAGTTAACATCTCAGGGCTCTAAGCAACCAAGACTATACATGATAGTGGTGACAGCCTGCATTGGAAGAAAGAGTTTCCTCTTCTGACTTGGCATATTCCTTGTACCAATGAAAACTCACATCCAGTCCCTATTCTATCCGTGTGTGTGAATATACACACATGCACACACACACACACATACATATATACACATATACACATATATATACTCATATGTCTACATACATGCATATACACACATGCATGATTATATGTGTATCCATATATAATACATAAATATATGCAGCCAGATACTATATATGTATACACATAGTGATAATTCTTATAAATCAACAAATACATTGAATATTTATTATACATAAGCACTGTACTAGTATTGTGAAGGATACAAAAAAACTTGAAGAAATACATATGTCTATATCTCCCAAAGAATCTGACATATAAGTAGGTGCTCAATAAATAGTTCTTAATTGTTAAGAAATCATAGCCCCTGCTCTCAGAGTTGATGTCTACTTGGGAAGACTGGGCCATGTATATCAAAAGTCAGATCAGGCAAAGAGGAAACTGTGGCCTCCCGTGGTGGTAGAGCACGGTGAGGGTGGGGAGCATGGGAAGAATTCAGAGCTGAATTGCAAGCATAGCTGCTGCTCTGAGGACCTCAAAATTCCCAATAAAGAAGGGTTTTTTTTTTCTGTTTTTTCAGTCGTGCCATCAAGTCCGACCATGGCCTCCTCTACAAGCCTCCCCTCTAACTGTAGCAGTTCTTCTGGGATCTTCTCTTTCTCACCAGCCAACATGGTCTCAGCAGTGAAACAGAAGAGTGCTTTTGCTCCAGTTGTGAGACCACAGACTTCCCCACCTCCCACCTGCACCAGCACCAATGGGAACAGCCTGCAAGGTAACTGGGGTCCACAGTGGGGCTGGCCCTACCCTCTTAACCTTAGAGGCACCGAACTTACCGGCCCTGGACCCACTCTTTAATAGTCGCGAAAGTGACCCATCCCCTGTCTCACCCTGTCTTCCCTCCTCCATTCCTTTAAGCGTTAACCAACTTTACTATGTCCTCCCCCCACCCCTCCAGTGCTGCCCAAATAGCAGCCTCATCTGTGTCTAACTCCACTAATTCTACTGAAAGGGAAATGCCACTTGTAAGTTCAGACTCAAGTGTTTTGTTCCAAAGTACTGTTTCCTTTACTAATACCATCCTTTTTCTTTTCTCCTCTCTTATTCCCTGTTGTCGTCATTATCAGACCAGTCTTTTGTGGACTCTAGCAAGTACTCCACTGCAGGGTCTCTCCAGGGACTGGCCTTCTCCTGAAGTACGTCACTCAATCTTCCCTTCCTTTTGCCTTTGTCACAATGTATGTGTACGCAATCCTCCTCACTGTTGTAGGGGACTGGAGCTCACGCACTGCTATGGGAGAATGACACAGGGCTCTCAGCTCTAGGTGTTCTTGTTTTATCACAAGCACTGGTGTTATCACGGTCAAGCTTAGACTCTGATTTTGGTCGTACTGGACCATTGTCATTGAAAGCCCATCACTTGTGACAGCCATCTGAGCTGCCTAAGCCTATTCTAGTTCAAACCTGCCACAGAAAATTGAGGTGAAGCTTCAGTTGGAAGTAAAGAGACTTCCAAGGGCCAATGTGTCCATTTCATTCTCTTCATTTGCTCCCCACTGCCTGCCCTGTAGTCCCCAGATTATTCAAAGAAAAACCTGCACACCTTTTGAGGTGACCTTCATACTCGGATTCGAAGGTGGGACCAAGCTAACCACTTCTGCCTTGAGTTAGGCTTCCTATGGGAAATTTCTCTGAACCTCATTTTCTTCTTATATATACTAGGATTAGCAACACTTGTCTTATCAGTAGTAGTAGAGAAAGTGCTCTGAAAACTTTTAAAGTGCTATCAGGGGTAGGGAACCTACGGCCTTGTAGCTACGTGTGGCCTTCTAGGTCCTTGGGTGTGACCTTTTGATTGAGTCCAGGTTTTATAGAACAAATTCTTTTATTAAGGAGATTTGTTCTGTGAAGTTTGGATTCAGTCAAAGGGCCACACTTGAGGACCCAGAGGGCCACAGGTTTCCCACCACTGTCAGCTAGATGATATAAATGTAATACTTTTTGATCAGTCAACAAGCATTTATTAAGTACCTACTAGGTGCTAGGCACTTGATGCTTTAGTCAATTGGTGGTTCATTAATGTGAGCAATTATTATTATATGAGATATATTAATTCTAGCATATTATATTATAGAATAATTATGTAATATGGTAATGATATGATTAGAATAACTTATTCCCTTGGCAGGAAACTTTAACTTGATTTGTTGAAAAAAAAACAGGTGGGAGTGAGTGCAATTATTTTCTGTAATTCTCAACTGGATACTCCAGGAGTAAGGTCTCCTCCAAAAGCTATAACTTTTGCCACCTTTGTAGCAATGATAGCATCCTACATTCATCCAATGTAGAGATTCTTCACCTTTTTATTTTTATTTTTTTTTTGCATGTGTCATGGATCCCTTTGGCAGTCTTGGGATCAAAACATTTTAAATAACATTTAAATTTAAAAATAACATTTTAAATACATAAAATAAAATATGTAAGATTACAAAGGAAACCATTTCCATTGAAATGGTCTGTCTTAGTCCATGGATTCCAAGTTAAGAGCCACTAATCTATTGCTTTACAGTTTACAAAACACTTTTATCACAACTCTGTGAAAAAGCTGTACTTACAAGCAGTATTATTCCCATCCTTATAGATGAAGAAGCAGTGGCTCACAGAAAGTCTATGACTCAGCCAGTGTTCGGTGGTTAGTCAGTCTGGGGAGGAGCTTACCTCTTTTAGTTCTTTCCCTACTACCCTACACCGCCTTTTGCCAACCATCATGTTCAAGCCATTTCTGACTACCATTAATTGCTCAGGCAGCCCCGCTGGTCAAGGTCCTTCCTGATTCATTTCAGCTAGTCAATTTTCTTAAAGAGGTAGAAAAAAACTGACTCTGAAGTGATGTTTTAGACAGCATTATTCATGATATAAAATGCATACATCCACAGAGGAGAATGAATCCATTCATAAAAGCCTGACTTTCTGATTTAACTGATTGCTAAAAATAACTTAACATTGTAGTTAGTGTACTTTCAAACTGGCAGACCAGGAGTGTGTAATCCTTAAAGTCAGTTGTAAGGAGTTTGAATAATAATATAATATGTGGAAAGCACAAATCTACCATGGGAAGTGGAAATCTACCCTTCTTGAGCTATCAATCGCAGGTCTTGTTAAAAACTGATCTGACGTCAAAAACAAAATATAACAAGACTTTTAATCGACAGCTGAGTGGTGGTGCATGGAGGAGAAGTAACACATTACGTTACCTTTCAGAGCTAAGCATTGCTGCAGCGTTTATTGGCCGGGGTTCCAGCTAGGGCTGGATTCAGGTGGGGGTGGGAGATGGTGAATCAGTTTTGGGGCCAGAGCATCAAGTCCAAGGGGTAGCCAGATAAGTGATTAAAAGTTTTAAAAAAATGGGGTAGACTTTGACATTAGAGCTGAATGGAGCTCTGAAATTCACACCTAGGATTGTTGTGGAGAAAGTCTTAGTGAAATGGCTAAAGAAAAGGCTTACAGACTGGCTGACCCCCATGACCCACCCAGTTTTGACAGACCCAGAAAACATCCTGACCTTCTCTTCCACTTTTTATTTAATCATGGGGTTTTTTTTATATCAATAATAGACAATGGCTGTACTATTTTCAAATCATACACTCTCCAAATTAGAAGGAACCTTTCGGAGTCCATCTATTCCAACCTTTTCTAGAACTTTCCAAGCCAGAGGTCATTCAGCATTTATTTAAGGGAGCTCACTAACCTCCTGCATCAGCCCATTCCACTTTGGGATGGCCTTAATTATTAGAAAGAGTTTTCTTCCTTTATGTCAAGCCAGAAAAATGCTTCTCTGTTTTCTCATAGTTTTATGAACAAGTTCAAGCAAACAAGTCTAATTGCTTTTTCAAATGACAGCCCTTCAAATACAGGAAGATAGCTATCATGCTCCCCCCCCACCAAGTTTTCTGTAGGTTAAACATCCCTAAGTCCTTCAGCAGGTATCAATTTATCATGATTTTGAGACCCTTTACCATATTCGTTTAAGTTCTCTTCACTTTATCAATATCATTCCTCTAGTCTGACCCATGAATCTCAGCTGAATATTCCATATATAGCCTGACTCATCCTGGACACCAAGTTTCTCAGGGCAGCCTATGATTGCAACAGTGTCTTTGGCTGTCATAACGCAGATCTTGAGCTTGCAGTCCACCAACCCCTCAGATAGTTTTTTCAGGTCAACTGTTATCTAGCCATATCTCTAGGTGATTTTTGAACCTGAGTTCAAGAATTTGTATTTATTCATATTAAACATCAACTTATTGGATCTTAATCAATGTACCAGTCTTTCAAGAATGTTTTACATCCTGATTCTGTCCTGTAGTAGCTATTCTTACTAGCTTTGGGTCTTCTTCTAATTTAATGACCATGCTCCCTCTAGGCCTTCATTTAGGTCACTAATGAAAATGTTAAACAGAACAGGGAAAAGCACAGATCACTATGACACTCCACTAGAGACCACTTTCCTTGTTGACCACTCTTTGGGTCTGGCCAACCAGTTCCAATTTTACCTAATTATACAATTTCTAACCAACCTCTCCTCATCCTGACCTTAAGAACAGCACAAGCAATTTTTTCAAATGTTTTACTAAAATCTCAGTAAATCATATTTACAAGATATCTAACAGTCTAGTAAACTTGTCATTCATGTTTACTATATTGGTCTGAATAGAGAGCACATTTCATACCAAATCTGACTTGTATAAAATATGAATGATTGCCTTTTAGGTTAAATTGGGTTTCTTTTCATTTTATGCCAAATTATATTTTTCTCTGAAATGCATTTCTTTTTTAAAGGTTCAAGCCTATATGCAAAGAAATTCTGTTTTCTAACCAGTGTGGTCCTTAACCACCCTAAGACACTTTGCAAGTTTAATCCCAGTTACTATATATTCCTCAAAATCATATCATGGCATTTCTTTTTAAAAAAATTCTAATTTTTCATAAATTGATACTGTAGTTTTATTCTCTTTCAAAAATATCCCATAGTATGAGATATTTTAATCTTGTCTCTCAACATCAGAGAGGGAAAAGATGCCCAGAGACCTTGTTACTGAAGGTATTCAGTTAGATGATGTCATTCCTAAATCTTGACCATGAGCTTCCTTGGGCGATTTGCCTTCCCAGGTGAAAAGCTGGAGGCAACATTCTCATGACTTATAATTCCACATTTCCATGGGACATTGTCTTCCTTCTCCTTGGCTGGAGATGTTGGTCTTGTGACCAATCACAAGCCGCAATGTTAACCTTGGGCACTCTGAATTTAGTATTCTTATGGGGTTTTGAGGACCCTAAGTCCTGTTCCATGAAGGTTTTCATGATAGGATCAGAAAATGTCCTTCTATATCACGATCTTCATCATGTCAATAAAAATAGCATTTGTAATTTGAAAAGAAAAAGCCAGGGTTATCCAAAGCAAACTTTTGTGGATTTTAATCCTCTTCAGTTTCCATTTCACCTATCCCACCAAGTCCTAATCCTACCTCTTCATCCACAGAAAGTTGTGCAAACAAACAGCAAATTTTGTGGCTTTCTTTTTTCTTGATTCTTGTAATATAGCAGTGTCTGGGAAGAAAACATTTTATCATTTCCCCAATTACCACAAATCTGCAAATCTTTCTACTTTGACACAGTTCTTATCAAGGGACCACAACAGTCATTAAATTAAATTGTAGTAGATTTCAAACCAAATTGCTAATACCACTACCATCCCTTTCTCTCCATTCTTATGTACTTCATCCTAAGTCGGGGGCCCTATCACCTCTTATCTGGACTCTTGCAGACCTCACCCTGCTTCTTTGTATTTCCCCTCTTCAATCCATTCTCCAAACAACTGCCAAAATAATCATCCTATGATAATGTCATGCTTCTGTTTAAGAATTTTACATAGCAACTTATTGCCTCTAGGACAGGGTGAGGAACTTCTAGGTCCTTGTGTGAGTCCAAGTTTTACAGAACAAATCCTTTTATTAAGGGGGGTTTGTTCTGTGAAGTTTGAACTCAAAGGGCCACACTTGAGGACCTAGAGAGGCACAAGTGGCCTTCAGGCCACAGGTTCCACCCCTGGGCTAAGATATAATACAAATGCTTCTAGCTGGCAGTTAAGGCCCCTGGAAATCTGACACCAGCCTTACTTTGAATGAATGAATGAAGCATTTATTAAATACTTACTATATTAGAGACACATACAAAAGCAAGGCAGTTTCTGGCCTCTAGGAGCTTACGCTCTTAATAAAAGGAAATAAGATATGTGAGGGAATGGTTGCCTGAGAGGAACATTTTGATTTAGCAAGCCACAGAGATGGTGAGTAGAGTCTTTGGGGAGTCCATTGATGCATCCTTTTTAGTAGCAATGACTATTAAGTTTATTGTTGTTATCAGAGGAAGAAGTAGAAAGGGCGAGGACATGAACAACTGTAAGGCGAATGATGGCTATGGTAGAGTGTGAAGCTTGGCTGGGGGTGGCTGAGTAGGTTGGGGACATATGAGTTTGGCCTCTTAAACTCACCAGTTGGGATAGGGAGGGCGGGTAGGTGACTGGGCAATTCCAAAGCTAAATGGGTTAAGTCCACTATGGAATAGTCTTTGGAGAAACAGTGGTCCAGGAAGTTGTAACATTTCATGGCAAAGCCAGCAGGGCAGATGGCTAGAAGATGACCAGGTGAAATATGAAATGTAACAGCAGCCACAAGCACTGAAAGCTCATGCATCCACCAAATTTCTCCCCTCCTCATTTCTTCTAAGCTACTTGCTATTTTCTGGATTTGGCCTTCTACCTCCTATATCCGTATGTCTTTGCACAGGCCCTCCAGGCCTCTTTCACCTCTGTATCTTGGAATATAGGATGTCCTTCTGAGTTCAGCCTAGGTTCTACCACCTTTTCTGATTTCTTGTTATTATAATACTCAGTCTTCTCAAATTATCTCATATTTACTTGTCATTTATATATCATATCTCCCAATAACATGTAAGGTTTTTTGCACATTATGGTTTTTTAATTACAGTATTGTTCGAGTATGCATTCAGTTTTAATAAATTTTACTTACTTTTTGTTACTATTGCTATCATGGACAATGTTTAAATCTTTATCCATTAGGTTTTAATACAGCTATTTCTCAAAGGCTAGCTGATTGGCAACATATATGTAAAGAATGTGATTCTTTTCTTTTTTAACCTGTAAGTTCTTGAAGGCAAAACCTTTTTCACTTTTGTCTTTGTATTTCTAGTGCCAACCGTAGTACTGTACTTGTAGTCAGCACTTAATTGCCAGCTTGTTAATTGAATCGAGTTCCTCCTGGGCAAAGTGCCCACCTATAGGGAGATAATAGGATCAGAGATGTAGACTAGAAAGGGACCAAGGGCATCTAGTTCAACCTTCTCAGTTTTTAGAGGAGAAAAATGAGACCCAGAGATGCTGAGACTTGCCTAAGGTCAGATGATAAGTAGCGGTCAGTATTTGAACGTAGGACCTGTGACTCCCAATCCAGCATGCCTTCCATTGTTACATTTCAGAGATAATAGCACCACTGAATTTGGTGTCCTCATGTGAGCCTTTAAATACTGAGTGGGCACCAAGAAATGTAAGTGATGGCAATGTTGTTGAATGTTTTAATTATGTGCTTCTAACCCCATCACAGATAGTATTAAATTGTAGCATTGCAGCAGACATACAAGAATATATCCACAGAGCCTTGCTGTTCTTTAGATGTATCATCTTCGATTGCCTTTTTATCATTTGTAGAAAAATGAAATCTCTTTAAAATGGGGTCCAAGGCAGACTAACTTGATACCGGATTGCATTTTATATCGACAAGTTTCAATTAACTTCGTTTTCTAGACTATGTGGACAAAACCCAAGCGCAGTTTTGTCTGATAAAATGAGGCAGTTGGATTAGTAATTGCTGACATCCCTGGAGACCCTGATTTTGTTAGCAGAGGCATTTAAAACATATAGTTTAGTCCCCAAAACCTACTTTGGGGCTTGCAACGTATGGTTATGTAAACATGATCTTTCTCTTTTTTTGGCATAAATTATGTCTTTTGGCTATTTCTATAGACCGCATTAGTTAGACATTTGTCAAATCTCTGCTTGTTCTGCACTGGGTTGACGTAGTCAAAGTTAGCCATGTAGACACATGTATGTAGATAGATCCTGGGACCTCATTTAACACTAACCTTTTTAGAGTAGACTTTCAATGTAAAGAAGATCTATCCAAGAAGGTGTTGGCTATCAATCTAACCTTAGACTACTTCATGAAAGCAGTCTCTTTAATGTGCCTGAACCCATTTCAGTGGTGAGGAAAGGGAGTAAATGTCAAAAATACCATGTAGTATACACATTGTGGGTTAAAGGTCCTCTGAACAAAGTACATGGCATGGTTAGATGTTACATTTGAAACATATTTATTTTGGGGAACTGCAATCCATTTCACCAGGCTTCATCACAGTTGAATTCTCAGATTCAATCAAATATAAGACCCTCTTGAATCTTGGGGGGTCTGGGTTTCAAACTGGACTCAAACCTTTGGGGGTTTAAGCTGGTCTGCTCTTGGCAAGAGACAACTTCCTGTTTCTAAGAAAAAAGGCTTAGGAAGGCTTATGAAAAAGACTGCAGGAGTTGTTGGATCACAAGCAGTTCTTGCAAAACAACATTTGGATGATTTACGTGTAAATGAATCAGAAACATGTGGATTCAATTTCCCTGAAAATACAGATGGGTTTAAAAATTAACGGAAAAAGTGTTTGACAAAATACATTTTTTTTAACTTTAAAATGTCTTGGGGGTGGGGAAGGAAAGCTTGAGAGCCTGAACCTGGCTGAGATATGCTAACCCCCAATTTTACTTGAGCTGTTTAAAAAAAAAATCCATGAAATCACATTTTGGCCAGGAAGGCTAGGAGATGGAGAGGGCAACTTCCTGGGAACAACCCTTTCTCTAAATGTGGAATTCTCAAATAAGATTGAAGTAAAGACTCTTTCTTTTTAATTGTCCTCTAGCCCACTGCCCCAGAAATCCCTTCACTGTGCCTCCTTTTATGGGTCAACTATGCCAACAACTGCCCATCCTTTCTGACCAACTATAATCTTCTCTATCATAATTTATTCAGAATTTAATTCAATTCTAAGGGGGAAAACGATTTAGGTATATGCTATATTTCTTTCTGAGAGAGGAAGTATTGTATAGTGGATAGTTGTAAGCTGGCCTCAGAGCAAGGAATATCTAGGTTCAAGTTCTCCCTTTGATATATTTCTACTGGCTGTGTGACCCTGGGCAAGTCACTTAACTTCTCAGGGCTCTAGGCCCTTCTCTATACTGATCCGCAGAGAAGGTGCTGCCTGTTCTCGGAATTCCCTATACAAGGAAATCAATCCTCATCCCTAGATTGCTTTTAAATAAAAGATCAATGTACTTGTGATTATTTGTTTGGTTGCAAATCAAGCTCTTCTCACCCCCAGCCCCATCCCAGTAATATAACTCCTCATGTTTGTATAGTGCTTTACAGATTTTCCAAGTTCTTTCACATAGGAGATCTCAAATGACCATTATAGAAGCCTGAGAAACAGGTAGAACTGATAGTATCCCCATCTGACACCAGACGAGTTGACCAAGGCTACAAAGAATGTTTGGTGGCTGAGCCAGTGGGCTTCTCTTGCCCAAGACCTCTGTCTTTCTACCTTCCGGGATCTTCACTCAAGTCTCTGGACTGTCTGGTTAGTCTTCATAGGGTCATAGCACTAAAGAGATCATTCAGTCCAAAATACCATATAGATGAGGAAACTGAGGTCCAGAGAAATTAGGTAACATACCAAAGGTCACATTAGCTGAGACTAAAACTTGGGCCTCTTGACTCCTGGTTCATGGAGTCTTCCAGTATCCTACTAGTCTTTCCCTGCTCTCCTCTTGGTTCTGCATTTTCCAGAAGCCAAGTTAGGCTTCAGAGGCTCAGTTTGAACAACTGCCTCAACGTGGAAGACATCATCTTTTTTTTGGGAGGCCCATAAAAACTGGCCTTTTCCTCCTCTCTTTTTCTTTCCTTTACAGACAGAAAAAAAGTTCATCCACAGTGCATAATGCAGACTGAAGCTAGGGATCTCTCTCTCTCTTCCCAGACATGGGCACGGAAATGAACTAACCAAAGAATTGTTTACAGCCAGATACCCCTAGTGTTTGTGTCTACAGAATGCAAAACACCATAGCTTTCTGTGTAAACTGCTGGCAGATGGGATTATGTTTGGCCATTCTCATGGGGGCAAGGGGAGGAGAGAGAAAAAGAGTCACTAACTTAATGAAAATTCTCTCTATATTTTGCAGAGTTTTAGGTCTCAACTTTCCCAGTGGCATTCAAACTATGTAACTTTCCAACTATGTTTCAAAATTGAAATCAGATTTGGAGAAGTGTTTAGTTATTTTGTTACACACACATATATTTTATATATGTGTGTTGATAAAAAAAAATACAATCCCTGTTTTATAACAAAATCAAATTACAGAACAGATGAGCACACTCAATCCCACATTGTGTTTTCCTCCTCCCAGTGAGAAATCTGCATTCAAAAACATTGACTTCTTTTTCCCCCCTCCTTCTCTTTCAACAGCTATATCTGGCATGATTGTCCCTCCCATGTGAAAGAATTGCCTTGAAGAATTTTATTAATGAAGAGGTTGGATCCTGCTACAGAGAGAAATCTGATACAAGTCCCAGAGTGGAACTTTTAACTCAGGCCTTTTTAAGAGGAGTCACAATAACTGCAGATTTTTAAACAAACAAAATCACCGACCTTGCAAATACTGAAATTGGAAGGAATCTGCAAGTGCAGGGTGTTGGTTAAAGTTGTACATCCCAAGTATTTGGGAGATATATTTATTCTGTGTTGATAAAAGAAAATCCACTTTTTTTTTTAAAGCTTAACTCAACAATCATTTGTCTTTTATAAACTGTAAAGCTATATATGAGGGACACTATAAATAAGACTCCATGTTTTAATTTATGATGTTTTTAAAGCTGTGTCAAGGGAGAATGAAGCAGTGACATTTACAAAAAGAAAAAGTTTTTTTAAAAAAAGCTTGTATGGGACAGAATAGGAATGCCAGTTAGTTTTCTAGAAGACCAAGGGTCGGCTCTTACGCCTTAAATGCATATCAAGTGGTAGTTTGCTCATACAATGCATTTTCAGTATCTAACTTAACCTGTCACCCCATAGGAGTACAAGCTTATTGATCTCTTTTTTCTCATTGTCTTAAGTAATCATGTAAATAAATGCAACCTGGAAAGTTAAGCGATTTAAATGATCACATCTTTTTCTTCCACTCCAAAAATTCAGTGCCTCTAGATAGATTGCTGAAACTGCATATTGAAACCTGCTGCCATTGTCTTTTGCTAATATAGCAGAATCTTCTGAAGTCAGTGGCCTCTAGAGAGTTTGGTCTGATAGTCTGTATTCGTGTAAAAATCTCCTTTGAGACTTCATGGAACAGGGTCCAGGCATAAGACTCTAGACAACACACTCATGTGTTTTCAAGCCAAAATCTATCCTCTACCCCTCCATTTAAAAGGAAAAAAAAAAGTATTGCAATTGACTCTTCTCATAGGCCGACTTCGCATCATTGCAAGGAACTGACAAGAGGTGCAGTGCAGGAATTTCACCCGTGTCCCACTCAGATAGCTCCTGTATTAGTCGACCCTTACTGTTTGTAACATAATAGGTTAAGCAACAGGTTAAGTGCTTTGGAATAAATAGTAAATGGAAATGTGGAACTGGGAGGGGGGCGGGAGGGGGATCGATCAAAGGCTGAAACCTCCAAACCATAGCTTTTTGTTCTACAGGAATTTTGCTATCATTATCTGGGAAGTGTTCTTAAAAATTAAGAGTCAAAGATGCAGCAAAGTTCTGAGGATGCATTTACCTGATATTTTTCTTTGCTGTTGTGTTTTTGTATGTAGTTATAAATACTGTAGATTTTTTGTGATTTTTTGCCAAAGTTGTTGTTCTATTTATACATTTTAATGTCTTAAGACAGTTTTTCAATATCACAAAAGATTTTACTGCATATTTTGCAAAGAGAGCTCACTACCTTTAGCTTGCACATACTTGCAAAATTAATTAAAAAAAGCTTTCTTTTTTGTTTTAAAGGGGATTTTGTAAAATATCCATATAAATAATGTATTTATCTTTGGAATTTGTACATTGCTTTTTCCCTTTCCCTCCCTGCCCCTCAGTTTATTTTATTGTGTATGTTTGCTATGTGAAAAGTGCTGATCTGTTTGGTCACCTACAGTTGTATTAGCTGTTTCAATGTGATTTTTGAACACTTCATTTATAGTTATTTTTAGTATTGTTTTAAACCCTGCTTCCATTTTTTTATTTCAACCCAAAAGCCATTGTCTATTTTTGTATTATTTGTAAGTTAAGAAGTTTTTTCCAATATATGGCAAAAAAAAAGTAGCATATTATTCTTGTAGCATTTAGTTCTGTAGATTTAAGAAAATGTATCCTTTGCTTTGGAAGCTTAAAAAAAACCTTAATGCTGTTTTACTCTATTAATATGCATGGAATCTCTCCCCTTTGGAGTGACGCATTTTGTGCATTAAATTTGGGGAGAAACTTCATAGAAATCAATGAAAATACTTTCTTTCTTACGTCTGCTTGTATATTTCCTCTGTCTTTCACATAAATATAAACCAGCAGATTGGATGCCTTAACAATGCAAATCATATTCATTTCACTTGTACATTGTACTGTGCACCAGAACTGTCAATCATCACTAACATTCTAAGAAAAAAAAAAGAATTGAAAAGCACAAAAGAACTGTTTTGTTACCTTAAGACAATGTAACTTTTTACAAGAAATCATTTACAACAATGCTGCAACTGTGCATGCCCCCGTATGGATTTTGCAATGGTTTCCACTAGACTGTCAGAGTGCGATTTTTATGGGGTTTCGGGGGAGGGGAGGGAATCCACGGTGGGGAAAATGGGGAGGAAGGCAGGTTTGTTTTTTTTTGTGGTGAGAAAGAAAAATAAAATTTTTAAAAAGAACTGGAAAATGGAAGCCACATTGACGCTTAGCTTCTCTGTACTCAGAAAGGTTGTCCTAATTCACTCGGTAAGCTCTGGCCTGGAGATGTACATGATTTAAAGCCATATTTTGTCTGGTGAGCCCCTGAGCTGTTTGTGAACCCTCACTCAGTCTAGGCGGGGAGCCCCCTTCGGACAGCAACGACTGCGCCCATCTGTCAGCCATGTGCAGTATGCTTAGACCTTTTCTTCAAAATCCAAAGAGCCTGTAAGATGTGTGCACTTGGTGTCTTGTTGCCTCTATTTATAGGGATTGGATGATGGGAAGTTCAGGCCCTTTGCCCTGCTCCCAACCACAGAAAACTCCTTTTACAAGGTAAAAGATTCCCCTTAAATACAGAATATGGCTTTAAGTGGAAAATAAAGAAAAGACAATTCTCATTTCAGTTTGGAAAAAAAGGAGGAAAAAAAAAAGGAATAATGCAGTTTCTCAATGACTGGCTTGCATAACAGATGCCCCGGCCTCACAGTTGTACTAGGATGCAGGTTAATTAAAACAAGTCATCTCTAAATCTACTAACCTTTCACCTTCTTATCAAAACTTTTTTGAATAGACACACACTGTACAGTTCTATTGTTAGAGAAACTAACTACTGTAGAGATTGTTATAATTTTTTTGCAGAAATTCAAGCTGTAAAAACTTTTCAACTTTCACAATATTTAATTAAAGTTACTTCCTGTCTGTGATGACAGCTCCTAGTTGTGTATTTATTTCTATTTCAGATGCTCCAAAGGGCAGCATTACTCCAGAGACCCATGTCCCAGACTATTCAGACTGCCCTTGACATGTTGAGAAGGAAGAAATAGATGGATCTCACAATTAGGGTAGTTTTAGACACCCCGTTTCTTTGTTTGGGGCTCTTTTGGGCTGTTGCTAATTTGGGATGCAAATTGGTATGCAAAGTGTACTGCTGCCCTCTGCTGGCAGCAGCCAGACCTGCATGTGTCGGTGCTGACCCACAGAGAAGGTAGCCCTACTTCATCCATGAGTCAACATAGAGAAAGGACCCTGGCCATGACTGATTTATAATTTGGGGACTGGTCATTTTGGAGCTCTGTTGCATCATGCTATTCACATACACTTGCTAATTAACTTCATGGAAATTTCTAGTCAGGAGATTGCATTCTATTGCTCTTTGAAGAAATACTAGATTTCCAATCCTTGCGCCATCTTTTTTTTGGTCATGTGCACAGTGGGTTTTTCCCTCTCAGTGCAACAAAATTTACTTGTAATCATATTAATAGCTTGAGAAGTAGATGGATTATTGATACAAATTTTCACTTCCCCTAATTTTCATTAGTGCTTAATGAGACCTTGATCCAATGAGTAAATTTGTTCCCAAGAATAAACATATCCTTGTAAGACCAGACTAATTTCTTAGAAAGGTGTTTCTTAAGTGGATGTTTAATCACTAAGATGTGCATATTAGAACTGATATCTGAACCTCCAAACTGAATTCTCCCTGTAAAGCTGATACTGATTCAATTTATCCTCCAGTGTCTACCAGTTGTAATGTATTACTATGGCAAGGGCTCTGTGGGTACTCCATGAGATAATTTCTCTATAATCAGTCAAGTCAACAAGCACTGATTAAGTGTTTATTATGTGCCTGTTTTCTGACCTGAGGATAAAAGAAAGGCAAAAACAACCCATGCCCTCAAGGAGCTTGCAATCTAATGGAGAGACAGCATAAGTACAAACAACATAGATAACGGGCTTAATTGGAGGTAATCTTGGAGAAGGCCATCATTAAAGAATAATCACAACTATGGAAAGATTTACACCTCATTTATGGTTGTTACATTTACAATGGTCAAGCCTTGGTATAAGTGACCTTGAGAGGTTACTTAATATATCTCCTAGCTTTCAAAGATGACAACATCTAAACAATTCTCATTAACTATAGTCTCCTTCCCCCCACCACACACACACACACACACACACACACACACACACACACACCCCTTTCTGTAAAAGGGCAGCTAGATGGCTCAGTAAATAGAGTGCTTCCCTGGGTTCAGATCTGACCACAGACACTTATTACCTGTGTGACCCTGCACAAGTCACTTAATCTTGTTTGCCTCCATTTCCTTATCTGTAAAAATGATCTAGTGAAGGAAATGGCAAATCACTCCAGTATCTGCCAAGAAAACGTCAAATGAGTCACGAAGAGTTGGACACAACTGAATGACAATAATATAACGCCTTTTTGTAAAGGACCTCTAGAAAAGAACATTATATAACCCTCTTTAGCCACTAGAAGATACAATTTAATTTTAGTTCATAACTTTTCCAAAAAGGTATCATGAAGCATGACAAATCGTAGCAGTGAAGAAAACTGATCAAGTCTTAGCATGGGTAGGGGGCTTTCAATATATTATGCAGAAAGAATGGAGAAGAAATACATGACTTCAGGGAAGTCCCTTTTCTCTAAATCTGTTTCCATATTTGCAACATGGGGAGAGGGAGGAGTGGACTAGATGATGAACTCATTGTTCCCTCTGGTTTACTCCATATGGTCTAAAGTCAACTGTCTTTAAAGAAAAGGAGACCTTCATTTCTTAACCTTTTCTCCAGTTATTTATCTGTAGCACTGGAGGTTACAGTCAAATGCTGCATCGTTTTTATTTGCTTCTCTCCCCTCTCCCTGGTATCATCCTCTTCTCCAGAGGGTATTATATTTATGTTAGGAAGAAGATTCAGTTTTCAGAACTGAAAACATTTTGTTCCTTTAAAAAAAAAAACCTCAAGCATCAAGAATTTTTATCTCTGCTCTCTGGAGAATTATGTTACAGTGGGACTGGTTTTTATCTACTTAGCACACTTTCATTCAATGATTGCAGAACTTCTACAGACTATGTTAAATAGAACTGGTTACTTCAAGTTTGTAGCCTTCCAACTTCCAAAATATTAGCAATAGCCTACGTACTGCCTCTCAGAGGACTGAATTGTTCTTCATTGACAGCTAAGATAGGACCAAAATAATGAAATTCTTTCCTATCTGCATGGCTGCCCCCACTACCACCAACCAATATTCCCAAAAGGCCAGAGTAAGAATATCTATAAAAAAGGATCCCTTTGGAATCTATCATCACAGATGTAACAAGGGGAAGGGATGGAAAGACAAGAAAACAAAAGGGAAGTGACACGAATGGAGAAATTTGAATTCTTATATATATACTTCTCTTTAACAATACACATACATATACACACATATACCTGAATTCATAACTAATTCATTTTATAATGATTTCATGGACAGGAACAATGCCGACTTTTAAAAATATCATTCCCTATAGATTCTATTATGATAAACACACAATGGACATACAGATTTTGAATTAGGTAGAAATACTAAAATGAGAACATATTTAAATAGGTAAAGTATAAATTGTTAGTTTCTTTTTAGGTAGGCTTCACCACCATGCTTGATCCTATGATATGTGAAAGAAACATGAAATATGGTCCTGTCCACAAGGAGCTGTGCTGATCATTCACTGTTGTATTTGAATAGAACACAAAAGTACCGAAGGTATTAGAATTTCTGTCTTAAAATGCCTTATGTAAAAACATGCTATATCATATAGGTAAGTCATTTCCCCTTGAAACAACATCACTTCTCTCTTCATCTGTTTCTCCCATCAAAGTGGAGGCTGGGGTTAGACTTCCAAGAAGTAGAGATAATCAGTTGTCAACAGCCTTCCTATTAAAAACACATTGTTCCATCTCTGTGCCCAAAAAAGAGTAAATTCACTCCACAAAAGAACTCCAGACGTTCTAGCTAGCATTTCTTAATGAACAATACCATTCTGAATCTAACTCAAGTGGGGCATGAAATCAGAGAGTTTTTGTTTGTCCTTTATTCTCGAGCTATAGGGAAGCTGGTGTGGCAGAAAGATCACTGAATCAGGTATCAGAGGACCTGGACTGGGATCCTGGATCAGCTACTTGTTATTTATATGATCTTGGACATTACTTGATCTCAGATTTTTTAATCTATAAAATGAGGAAAGACCATGACCTACATAGACGTAGAGCAGATGGGTTAGACAAGATGCATTTTCAGGTCTTTTCTGCTCTACGTCCTGTTACTCTAAAGAGGATCTCCATTTGTAGAGCACATCATGCAATTGCTTGGGGTTTGAGCAAGAGACAAAATTGTTTTGCTGTCAAAGAAGGAAGGAAAGGTAATTCAACCAACTGAAAGCCACAGGCATTGAGTATTCTATAAGGCAGAAACAGACAATGTGAGTGCTTATCTCTCCTTCTGCTTTCTTTGCTTTATCTTCTGCTTTCCTTGCTTTATCTTCTGGTTTACATTTTCCCCCTTTTCCCGTGGTATTATTAAGACCACCTGTTAGTGTCAGGGCTAGATCTGCCTAAGCCATATCCTTATTATTCCTCATTTGTCTGCTGTGGTCAAAGTCTATAAGACACTGTGTCTCCTGGTTGTTAGTTTATCTCCTACTTATCAGATACATCTCATTATGTCCCATTTTAATGGTTTCCTCTTAACTGACCAGGTATTCATTACAAAATAGAAAGTTAGGTCCCCAGAATTATCAGCCATAATCCCACTAAAGTAATGTCAACAATATTGTCTTATGGAATGCATTAAATTCTATTCAGTTCAACAAGCATTTTAAAAATTAATTAGGTAATTAATTTTTAGTTTTCAACATTTACTTTTACAAGATTTTGAGTTCTGCATGTATCCCCCCCCCACAAGATGGCATGCAATCTGATATAGGCCATACATGCACAATCATAGTTAACACATTTCCACATTAGTCATCAAGAAGCATTTATTAAGCAGCTACTGTGCAAAGCAGTAAAGATGCAAAACTAATAATGAACACAGGCCATTTTCAAGGATCTTACATTCTAAGGGGGGAAACAACATGCAAACAGATACGTAAGTGCAACATTAGCATAGAATAAATGCAAGCATAAGACCTAGGGTCTATTGTAACCTTTCAATACGAGGTGTTTCACTGAAAAATAAAGGAGGCCAAGATGTTGGGCATCACCATGGATACAACACTTACAAAACCAAGAGGGTGCAACCATACCAAAAAATTAGCTCTAACTCTAGTCATCTCATGTCAAGAAAGGTACAGCAACATATGTTAAAGCCGAGAGAAAGGAAACTTAATCAAGGAGATGTGACTCTTCAGCCTGGAATGACAGATCTAATGCTTATAAAATTACGAAAAAGTGCTTATTCACAAGTTGCTTAATACCAGTCAGTCAGTCGACAAACATTTATTAAGCACCTACCAAATGCCAAGCGCTATGCTAAGTGCTGAGGTTACAAAGAAAGGCGAAACAAACAAACAACAATATGAGGGATACCCTGAGAAACCTGAAAGATAATGAAACAGAAAGGCCATAGTGTTTAGTAAGTTAAACCAATTCCTTTTTCCAAGAGGTGGTACAGGCTGAAAATCTAAGTAGTATCAGAAAAGATTTAGATATCTTATCCATCTTAGAGCCTCAACAGGTCTACAATGTTTGAAAGTCACTTCATACCTTCTTTTACTTCTCTGAGCTTCATTTTCCTCATTTGTCAAATGAAACACTTCATTTAGATAAATGGGAAGGTTTCTCTCCAAGTTTTACAACTGGGTGATCCTATGGACCCTATTTCCCTGAACTCTTTGATGCTGACATCAAGATTCACCCTACTCT